TGAGCTGACGGTGAGCTCAAGTCTAGGTTCCGTGAAGCCTGTTCCACAGAACGAGCGCAGCATTGCACAGCCAGCCCTGCAAAAACGTAGAAAGAGCGCACATTCTCTCCTCACAGGCAGATTATTCCAACGCGCAGTCCAGCTGGTCCGTTTTCCTCTTCAATTTAAGATCTGCAGCGATGGCCACTGCAGCACAAGTGACCATTGGGTCTGTTCTGAGCAGCTTCTCTAGCTCGACGGCAATTCAAGAGAGGCACTTCTCAGCTAAGCATGCCCTTCCCAGCCAACTCCTAGGTTCTTCATTGCAGGCTTCTTCAAAAGCTCTCCCAAAAGGTCGTGCATGCAGGAAAAGCTTTGTGATTGCAGCCAGCGCAATTGAGGGCCCTAGCACAGCAACAGCCGGAGGCAGCGGGCGCGAATTCGAGAGCGCGCCAAAGCAACAGGGGGACGTTTCCGCTGCTTCACACAGCGGCTACCAGAACAATCCGAAGGAGGTCACAAGCACCAAGCAGACCCCCACCTCTAGTTCCGAGCAGAAGCACAGTGAGTACAATGAGGGGGATGCGGTGAAAGTTCCCGTAGACTCTGAGCAGAAGCATGCAGGATATGAGAACGAGGCGGAAGATGCTCATGCAGAAAAGGGGGGGGCACAGGGACATGCCGCCTACAAGGAGGGTGAAACAAAGGATCCCCAGGGGGGGCAAGCGGCTCAGTCGCATGCAGGGTATGAGAACCCCCCCAGACAGGCTGGCGGCGCTTCAAAACAGGGGCACAGCAAACATCAAGCCTCAGGGGGCGGGAATATGAGCACAGTTTCTGACCTTTTGAGGGTGTCTGGTGTGAACAGCCCCGCGGGGTCCAGGTTTGGAGGCACTGGCTCCCAAAGGGGCACCACATTGTCAAAGGGGGTGGGGAGAACTAGAGTGGTGGCAAGTGCGGCTGGGTCGGCGGTGGCGGCCTCTAGCCAGAAGCAGAGCCACGCAATCAAAGCGCCTGCGACGGTGTTTGTGGCGGGGGCAACAGGGGCTACCGGACAGAAAGTGAGCTGGACACTGGGAAATTCAATTTACACGCACAGCTTGAGTTTGTTTCAAGTTTGTCCTTGTAGTTGTTGGGAATGCTGACTTTTTCGTGGCAGTATGAAGGACGGGGGGACCTTGAATAACACTCAGATTTCTTCAATGCAACTTCTCTTTTGTAGGGCAATCAGCTATATTCCAGCCATATTAAAGTCAAACGACGAGTAGGAGAAATTTCCTTCTACCCAGCCTCTCCTTGTGTCAGGATTTTGAGACTGCGCAAGAGTTCATTGATTTGTGAGAGGAGTGGTCTAAGGATCAAAAGATGGATCTGAGTATGAGGTTTCACCTAGATAAGGGAGACTTTTCCAGCTAATTGCATATTGTTATGGTCAGACCTCTTTTTCCATTCTCGCCGCAGCACTCAACGTTGCTGCGAAGGCGACCACTTCAGCAGAGTGGCACTTACATTCAGTTCCAAAAACTTGGAACATGTAACCCCAATCAACCTGTAAGCTGAAGTTGACGGCTAGTATGAAACTGTGCCTCTGCACCGCAGGTCGTGAAGGCTCTTCTGGCCCGCGGTCTCCGCGTTAAGGCGGGGGTGAGGAATGTTAACAGCGCTCGGGAGAAGCTCGGGCCCCCCAAGGACAAAGGTGACCATTTGGAGGTAAGCGGACGAAGAAAAGGGGCAGTGGAAGGGGCAATCCAAAGGGTCGATAAGGAAGAGAAAAGGTGGCACAAAAAGAAGGGATAAAAAGGGCAGTGCGTTTGAATCCCCACATTGGGCACAAAAAGCTGAGGGAGCTTCTGTGTAGGGGCGTGTTTATCGTAATTGTGAATTGTCAGAGGTTTTCTTTGTGAATGTGGACAGGTTGCGTACCTGAGCTGGTAGATTTTGCACAGATGCGCCCAGATGAATCCAACATGCAGTAAGGATTGCATACAAACATATGCTAGGTCGCCAAGAAAACCTCAAAAGTCTTGGGTGACTCGTAAAGTCAGCTGCCTGGTAAGCATACGAGTAAAATGCCCGTTCGAGTGCACCCCAAGGTGTTTTCTGCTTTGAGTGGCAGCTAATAGAGGCAATCTTTGCGACCAAGTAGCGTTTGGGCAAACTTTGCTGTCGATCCTCCGAAGTCACGCATTACGGTTCCTTGACGAGCTCTTCCCGACTAGTCTGTTTATGACTCTTTTCAAGTGATGTCAAGCGGAAGCAACAGTGTCCTAACCCAACACAAACACCAGAACTTCCAGCCCCTTGACCAATGAGGACGGGTGGGGTTAATATCGTGATTAGGGTGGGTTCGGGTGCGGAGCGAGTCAACTAGTGCGTAGTATTTTAGTCTTGGTTAATCAGAAGAATCCTCTTCGTGACTACTATTTGATCCTTGTAAGTCTTCAAGTTGTATTCTATCTTTGCTGTAGTTTAATCGAAGATGATTTCTATGTTGTAACAGCTGGTGGAAGCCAACATCACTGACGGAGTAGATGCTCTTGCGTCTGCTATCAAGGGGTGCGATGCGGTTGTGTCGGCGCTTGGCGCCCGCCCGTCGTTCAACTTCAAACAGCCCTGGGTGGTGAGCACTCGGCTTCTTCTTTGTACTCTTCTTGCGTACATCTTTTGTGAGATGTTAGGGATTTTCTTCTCTCTTGGTGAAAGTTATTCGATGCTTGCAGCGCTCAACGAGCACTCTTTTTGTGCCAATCGATCTATGGTGGTTGAAAGGAACACACACGCCCAGATATGTTTTGAAAGTCTTCGATGTTTTTGAGGCTTATCTTGGCGCCGGCTTTTGCAACATCAAGCGACACAGTCAACGAGGCCTCAGCTCGAAATGGTTTGCAAATACATTCCGTGCGAAGTAGCTCCGTTAACCTACCAACGGACACCCAACGAGCTGGCGAAGCATTGACGAAAGAACGACAGTGCATCTTTGCCTCGCAAGAAACTTTCTGGTGAAATTCCCCGTTGATTATTGTCAAAGCAACTTCAAAATATTTCCAAAGCGGCCATCGATTGCGATCAATGCGCCCTACTGTAGAATAACGTCAAGTGCTGATGCGTGATTAGTCCTTGACACCGTTTCCTCTGGCCCAGATTGACTACCAAGCCAACGTCGATTTGGCGGAGGCCTGCAAGAAAGTTGGTGTCAAGAAGCTCGTGGTAGTGTCAGCGCTGCTGACCAACGGGGCCAAGCTGGGGCAGTTTCTTAATCCGGCGTTTATCTTCCTTAACCTCTTCGGTGAGGCTAACCACCTCTGTCCAAACCCGGCGTTAATCGTCTTCGGAGTTTCGTAAAGGAGATCAAGCGTCCTCTCCGAGTTAGCGTCTTCTGTTAGGCAGTAAAATTCTGGGATTTGGCAGACGTTGCATTCGGTTGTACCTTCTAGAGACGTTTTGAATCTTGACCCAAGGCAGATGGAGGAAGCAAGGAAGAGGGTAGAACTCGAGCAGTGGAGAGAGGGTGGATTGAAAGCGGTTCAAAACAAGGAACGAATTTGGGTTGAGTCAAGTAAAGAGAGACGAGAAAAGTCTTGTTTGGTTCCGTATAACCGGAGTGTAGAGTCCAAGAGTCAAAGCCACTTCTAACCCGCCTTGTTTCAGTCCTCCTTTTCTGATCTTCAAAAATAGTCTTTGCCCAACATGCAAACCACAGAGTTAACCTTTGCTGAGCTACTGGCGCCTATTCTCTCGATTGTTGCTTCAAAGTTCCGATGACTTCTGCAGCAAGGAGCTGCTTCTGTATTCTACGGTTCGGTGTCAAGTCTACATTACGTGCTATTGACTGATCTTCCTAGCACTACTTCTCTCCTCTCACTCAGTCGTACTTGTATCTCACAGCTCTTATGACCTGTAAGACTCAGAATAAGAGCACATATGCAGGCTTGACCCTGGTTGCCAAGCACCGGGCAGAGGAGCACATCTGGAACACCGATCTGGACTACACCATTGTGCGGCCCGGGGGTTTGGACCGGGCGGAGCCTGGGAGTATCGTACTGGGAAAAGAAGACACCATCTTCGGGGGGGCCGTGCCGCGGGAACAGGTCAGCGTGACGTCACGATTTTGGTTCTCTTTCAAAAGCAAGACGTGAAATGCCCGTCTCACTCAGTTACATCTGTTTGCTTTGGGCTTGAATTTTTGTTTGGACTGAGGAAGATATGACCGTTTGAGTGCTCAGGGTGCCCTTTTTGAGGACGCATATCAAGAGAGCACTGCGGCTTGTCCGTTCAGCGTTGGTTCTCTCCTTTTCGCGCAGAGAATGCTTGTCGTTTGCTTGCTTCTACCACACCCCTCCGTCAGAGACGAACACTCAGAGAGTGGTGTGCCTGTGCTGGGCCTCTCCCGTATGCTGCATCGGCAAGCTTCTGCCGACAGTTTCCGGCGCAAACACCGCCACGTAATGCGTGGCTCTACAGGCCCGCACGACCTTTTGCAAGGCAACGATAGATTGTAATCCTCGAACTATGCACTTCGTTCCATAGAATCAAAGTAGAACTTGAGTGCTCGGCTTCGAGTTTTAGTCGAAGGCCGTGTTTTCAACAGCATTGTCTCTATTACCGCAGGTCGCCGAGGTTGCCGCGGAGGCCCTGCTGTTGCCCGAGGCCTCGTACAAGGTGGTCGAAGTCATTTCCAAGCAGGACGCGCCGCCCAAAAAGCTGCAGGACCTTTTCGCCGCGGTTCCCAGCGTGCCTCACTAGGCTGCCACGTGTCGGGTCCGGGTTGGTCACAGTCTCGTAGCGCCACGCTTTGAACGTCGCAAAGAGGGCAATAAAACAAGAAAGTGTGCTAGACCGTAGTCGAGCTTTGTTACTTACTTCATGCGACTAGTCTGTAGGTAGGGGCACGCGTATGCGTACGTAGTCGCAATTGTGTTGTACAGTAAGAGGGGCTCCTGCCTGAGTGTTTGAGCCGCGATGAGAGGGTTGTGTGTTGCTTGGGAAAAAAGCGTAGTGCTGCATCGGACTGGCACAGCGAAGCTATGTTGCTGTATTGTACTATTGTAGCGAGCTTTGTGTTCCATAGAAGGCGCGTTCAGAGATTTTGACAGCTAGCAATGACCGACTTGCATCTCGATCGATTTTATCAAGTCGTTTGGATCTGTACACTAGCAGGCTACGCCTCAACTCAGCCTGCGCGCATCCGAAGAATGCTGAGACGCGGCTTCACTCGCCCAAAGCCGCCCCACGATCTGTTTACGTTGTGGTTTGTCTCACCAAATGTTGCGCCAGACAAACGTAGATGATCTGACTTGCGAAAAATGTTGGGAACAAAATCCATGAGCTTGAGTCAACTGCCGGATGGGGCTCGATTGAGCCCGTTGCCAGTGCACATGCACCCCTCCTGTAGCAGAGGCGGCTAGATCCTTGCCTGATTCTCACCTAGGATCTTGCGCGTTGCTTTCTCTTTAACTCATGCATCAGTCATAAACATGATTTTCAAAAATCATCAGCGACGCAGCGTAATTGATGCAGTGCAATATATTATACAACCCAGTATTCTGCACTTATATATCTAGCTATCTCTGCATGTTTCACCTACATGCAGCACCTCGATCGCTCTTCGTCGCGATCCCTCTCGAAGGCCATATGGGCTGCAGTTTGTCCTTTGAGCAGGCTGCAAAGTCCGGATCCTCCGGGATCATGTGCGGGTAGCTATAGCTTGGAAGCAATTACATCAAGGATTACGACCTTCCCAAGCTGCGGTGATGATTGGTTGGATGCACGGGTACTTCAAGTGCAGACAAATGTGCATGCATGATGGTGTGAACACGAACGTCCAATTTTGACTATGGGTTTGTATACAGCATACCCTGAGCAAAGGCGTGTCTGCAGAAAATGCGCAGATCCTCCTGGAGCGTGTAATGGAGAGCGTGCAACCATCAAGTCGGATCCAATTTGGAGGGGCGATTCTCAAAGAGTGCCTTCGTCAACCTCATGCTCCTGTTTTTGGCGTTTGCTAGCGTGCTCGGTCCGCTGCGTGCTTTCTGTCGCACCTTCGCGACTCTCTTCGTTTCCAACACTCCTAGCTACGCTTGCTAAACCGTTCTCTACCGCTTGCTGCCGATCTTCACCGCGTGCGTCGCCGCTTTGCTTCGCATCGCCTTCCTCTCGTTCGTCATCGGTCCGTTCCCTCTTCTCATCGCCGCTTCCACCTGACGTGGCAGCTTCCGATGGGCCGGCTCGCTCCCCGTCCGTCACCTCGACATCCTCGTCGGACTCGTCGGTTCCGTCCGCCGAGGAGGTCTCCGGTTCCGGTTCCTTCCGGTCAACGGTGCGCGCGAACTCGGGCGCAGCTCCCCGAGTTCTCCAGTCGGGAAGCACCGGGAAGTCTTCCTCCCGGGCATGCGACCATGTGAGCTGCACAAAATTTCGGACATCGGGGATGGGTCAGTTTTAAATTTCAACCTCAATTTGCGGACCGCTCAGTGGTAAAAAGGAATGCCCTTCCTTTAGAAAGTCTCCTGGATTCAGAGCAGATCTAGATACCTCTGCAAAGTTTCAAGAACCTGCTTGCTGTCAGTGTTAAATGCGAGGGCCTACTATGAGAGCCCCGTGTTTATGAAGCCTTTCTGGATAAATTTGCATATTTATAGTCTTCCGCTGGGATGTGGGCTGCTCTGATTACTTTGGGAATCCTGAGAGGCTCTGGAGAAGCGTCACACTTCAGAGGACGAGCCTATGCGAACAAGGACATCACGCTCCCCATACGACCAATCATAATTTGTGAACGAAGTGAGGCGCAGAACGACGGATGAACGATCGTAAACTTGTTCAAAGAAGCCGAAGTGAGGCAAGTTGTTTGCGAAAGCATCAGACACGTAAGAACGTGCACATGAGACGGATCCGGTATGAATGTCCGGAACCAACAACGAGAGATGACATAGGAGCCCTTTTCTGAGGTGGAGGGAGATTTGGAACCACGAAGACCCTAGTAGCACCGGCGATCGGAGAAGTACGTGCATTCCTATTGAAACGCGATGTTCAGACAATCTCAGATACGACGTAGCGCTTAGGAAAACGAGGAAGCATATGTAAGAAAGATGTGAAGTCGCGTAAGTTTCCAAAAACACACCTGGCAGCAGTCCAGCCACTCGGGTCGTACGACAAACTTGCCCTCTGCGCGCGCCCACCGCGCCTTCTCCGTCCCGGGTTCGACGGCGACCACATGGGTGGTTTCAAGTGTAACGTTGAGGGAACAGGTCGCCCCCAATTCGGTGGCGCGGATCCAGAGCGGGTGGGACTCGTGGTGCGGGAAGCCCTGGGGGAAGATGCGGCTGAAGACCACGTGGCAGCCGGAGAGGATGCCACGTCGGACGGAGGCCAAGACCTGGTGAGATAAGGGCACTACTTAGAAGATCGTCGGTACTTGTTCTTTATACGTCTGTGTACTGCGGAACCGGAACCGTATGATGGCGAACCTTACGGAAGGAACTGACGAGCACCGTCTTGCAGCGCCTAAGCAAGTGCGAGACCGTATCAAGTCTCCAAAATCTGTTCCCCAGCTGCTCACATCACAAGACTTGTACTCAATCTGGACGACATCGACTGGTCAGGGTTTGGGAAGAAGCTTCTAGCAGCTTGACCAGTCAGTCGTCGTCTAGCGACATACTGAGTCTCGATTAGAAAGCTTCGAAGAGTGCGCACACGGATTCACGCGTTCGGGTGATATCCGTGGTGTCAGCCAAAGCAAGACGAGTGAGCTGCTGCGATTGAGCAATCCCAGGCTCTATAATCATCATTACCACCTCCAGTGCCTAATATCTTCGATGGAACTCGTCCAAGTTCGTGATGAACCAGAGAAGTCCGTCGACGAGACCTCTGAAACCAGGGTCAACGAGACGGACCAAAGCTGCGTCTGAGCGACCACAAACGAAACGACGCTCAACCAGCGGCTGAGTCGCTGAGTGACATCTGCTGTCAAGGGCATCAGTAAAGAACAAAGAAGACATGGGGAAAGGATCCCCATCTTTCTGTGCATCATGGCCTTTTCAAACCATAAGATGTCGTGAAGGAGGCTGAACAAAGAAACAGAAACGGACGAAGCATTTGCGTGACGCTTCTCAAGACGGATAAAGCATGCCTGGTCCCCCAACATCGTAGTTTGCTTGCTTGCACAATTCCTGGTCATTTCTTCCGTATTGTATGCTTCTTTAGCAGGTCAAATGGCGCTTCGCGGCGACACAGTGCGTTCCGTAGGACGGTTGTCCTACATTTGGTGCCCCGTTGCCTTGGTATCAAACAGCGGTAGAGGACGCAATGTTAACTTAATAGGCGCAAGACCGGGGGCGACGGATTGGCGGAGGAGACGAGGACGCACATGAGAAAGCAACGTGAGGCAGCACAACTGTGGACAGTCCGATAAAAAGAAGTTTGACTGGCGGCAAATTGAACGCATAGCAACGCGAAACCGTGGCGTCAGCCCCTTCTTCAGAACCGGTTTGGGTCGCCCCACAGCTGTTGAGCATCAGTGCCTTGTCCCTTCGGATACGCAACTTGATGGAAATAAATAAACTGCCTCCAAGTATGACAACTTGTAAGGCTTCGTATCTCCGGAACTATCTCCGTACGTATGCGTTGGTCGGCAGGATTGTGCCTTTCACATAGCTTTCGCTCTAGTCAGACGACGAAGGGTCTGATAAGCTAGATCAAAACTTAGTGAAACAAAGACGAGCGATTGAGCGATTGGCAGCGGATCGCAAGTTAGCCAATGGGCTACTCTTGAAGTTGGCAAGTGCAAATACCAACAGCGTCAGCTCTTCATAACGTACAATGACTGAGGGCGTCCTCGTGTCTGCGAGCATCACGGCTATTTGGAAGAAGCTTGTTTGGTTCTCAGAGAGCAGAGCAAAAAGCAACTGGGAAAAACAAAAGGATAGTGGGGCAGTTCATGTGTTCCTCAGGGTGTAAATCCACCTCTTGTCAGCCCATGGCCATCTCAAACAGCAGCAACTCATTCACGAGTACGCGTGATCTCCTTGCAAAACGGCGCCAAACTCTACCAAGAAGACCGGCAGTTTTAGTATGCGGATCAATCTGCCTAAGTTTTCGCTTGCATCTGAAGTCAGTTCCGACTCGAGGGCTATGAAAGATGATCCAGGACCGAAGGGCGCTGCTCGATTAGGGAGGCACAAAAGAAGAATGATGGTTACTTATTGGTCAGCTGTTGGTTGCAACACTAAAGGGCTTCAACTCCGAGAGCTAAGAGAAAGGCATACCCACCGGTAATGGCGTCATGGGACCCCATAAGGATATTTAGGAAATCCGGACCCGAACAAATAGTATAAACATATTTACAGGCGAGGAAACCCATTGCACTCACAGTCCTTCCCTCGACGGGGCCAGCATGAAACCAACACTTGCGGTGTCCAGAAGGGAAATACCAGCGATAGAGGTCGACCAGAAACAATCTGATCAAGGAGCAGATTTCAAAGACAGGGTGAGGAGCAAACGTAGCATTATTGAATAGAGATCTGCAATCTTCTGAGCAAGCGGAAAGTATCTAGCAGAGCCATTCCGACACCCAGCTTGCCAGCCTCAGTTCATTGGAGCAAGATCTGGCTGAATAGCGTGGAGATCGGCCAAACTTGGACTGAGCTCGGGAAAAAACGAGCGGAATGAGGCCCTGAGTGGGCGGAGTGCCCCATGAGTCTCACGAAAAGCGTGGCATCAGTCACCACCGATTTTCGGTGAGCCGGTATTGGCTCAGCCCTTTCCTCTGCATCCGGGCCATGATTGTAGTACTATGTATACTTTCCGGCTAGGCGGATAGATGTAGCAGCTTTTTGACAGCAATTGTAGACCCCGCGACTGTCCGAGCATCTCGAAACGTGCCGTGTTCAATCAACGAGCCAGCGTAAGTGCCGGGTTTCTCTTGCACGGCCAGTCTGGTTCGAAAGAGCCTACTTGCGCCAGCAGGATCAGGTCCATATTGCAAGCCAATCTCGATCGACTAGGTTCAACCGAAGTGCGGACGACCGAAGCTTTGTGAGCATCATGACCTCCCACGAGAAGCTGCAAACTCCTGAAGAAACAAGCTTCAGCCTCAAAATCCATTACAATAACCAACGGTAGAATCAACGGTGTACTGTTACAGCACCTTCCTACGAGTGATTAAACACAAGGCTCCCCTTCGATAGCACAAGAATAGAAGCCGCGACTGTTTGCTTCAACACCGGTCGAGATTTTCTATTTGCTTGCTGGATTGATTGTACGGCTCGAGAAAGAGCAGCCGTGTAGGTCAGTGCTCTGTGAAATACATTCCAGATACTGAAGCAGTCTCACAATTGGGTGGGCAATCTTAGCACGGCAAAAGCAAGAAAGGAAACTTTGCTCGAGCCTTGAAAGAGCGTTTGTCTAGTTTGGTCGGGATTGAAACTGACCGCTATGGTTAGAGGATTGCAATCGACCGCAGTCAGCCAGAGCTTCCTAATCTTCTCACAAGCGTCAACAGCTCATCAAAAACGCTGTGAGCCCATGTGAAGCCCAAAATATTGGATAGGCATCACTGCCGTCGAATGACGCTTGTTTACAAAAGCGCCGGTGTCGTCATACAAGTAGCTTCTGAGTCGCTCGTGAAGTGGGCACCGCTTGGGTTGACCGGAAGACATCAAGAACCAGGTTTAATACCAATTCAACCAGACTGCAACGCAACCAAAAGGCGCCTCCTTAAAATCTGTCCATCTTTTTCGGACAGGAGAAGCTCTGTTGCGGGGCCCTCCTTTTGTCGGAAAGCTTGACCAACATAACGCAAAGAAAGCAGGAATCAAATCGGACAGTCTGCAATTGGTACAAACGGCGATGCGAGGTCAGCGACGGGCAGGGAGAAGGTCATCAAACGCGGCTTTACCCATGGAAAAACAAAACAGGGCGTCAGCGCGAACATAGTGCACTCGCTTGGACTACGTCCATGCGCACTTCTATCGTTGCCCTTGGGACGTGTGTAGAGAAAGCCACTAGTTAAAAATTCGTTCTATCTTTGTCTCGCCCATGTCCAGTTCAAACCCAGAAATGACAGGTAAGCAACAGCAATCCCCGCTCAAATTGACCTCACAAATGAACACGCTCAAATAGGGAAACTTCAAATCGGCACCTGACTGGGCATGTCGGTTTGACAAGTGTGACGGTCCTCTCAATCATTCGCAGCATCTTGCAGCCCACCGATCCTTGCCAGCACAAGATAGGACTTTCACGGCAACAACTTCACCGATTCAGGCCTGTGCCTCAGGACCCCGTTTTATACTGAGTCGAGGGAGAGCAACAAGCAACATGCAACGTATCAGGATATAATCTGTGGACGCGGCTCAATCAAGCTAAGTGGGCCGTGCACGTCCCAGAGCTTCTAAAACAAACGGCGGTGTCAGCCTAAAACCAAGCGAATCGAGGTTTGCCAAAGGCTTTGGCGCCACGAAGCTTTGCAGGCATTATAACCACCACGAGCTTGCGACCAGGAGGATCAAAAAGCTCAGCTCAGATAAAACAAGACGCCTTTCTGCCTTTCACTATCAATCGTCGACGGCTAGGCCTGCTGGCCATTTCTAACGATGTCATTCTTCGCGGTGACGCATGCAACAGCATCGATAGTCAGTCGGAACAAGTTTTCAAGGACACAAGAAGAAGGAACATGCGTTACATGACGCCCTTATCGAGGTCAGCCTAGACAGGTTATAGAGTTTTGGCTTTATTGCAATTCCAGCATCTGGAGTACATTGACCAAGAATGAAGCTTCGCACATGCGCTTGATATCCTGGATTGCATCATCGCCAGTTGTTTCCGAAAAAATCAGACAATTCACCCCATTATTAGAGTGTGGTGACAGCGTTTCCTCAAAACTTCGACGGTCAGATCAACGGTCAGCTTACAAAGCACCCGGATGAGGGCTGGTCGGAGGAAACGAGGCATCCGGAAACGACGTGCTACAGGTCTACATTACTAGAGTTGTGTCCGATTGTTACCTTTAAAGTCCTGATGTTTGCACCAGACAAGTCACACGAGTACAGTGCTGGGCGGACCACAACTTGACCTTCTTTCATGTCCACATGCGCAGCCCAGCAAAATAGATCCAGCACGAAGCGCCTAGAATCCTCGTTGCATTTGGAGCCGCAGCTCTTAGCGGCTCTCTTACCGCTAAGAGATGCGGCTCCAAAATGGACAGCATTGTGTGTCGCACTCAATCCCGCAAAACGGACAAGGAAGCAGAATCAGTATTCTGTAATTGCTCCCGCTAAACACAAGATTCCAACGGCACCTCACCTGTCGGACGTCCGCCGGCGCCGTTCGCGGCGCAAAGAAGTCGGCGTGTACCGTTTTGAGGGTGTCCAGGATGCCCCGCAGCGCCCCCTCCTCGCTGCACTCGTCCTTCTTGGCCTCGACGAGCGACTCCCCGGGCAGGCCGAACTGGCGCCGGCTCGACCGGAAGAAGTGGTACCGCTCGATGACCAGCAGGTTCGCCCGGTTCTTTGGCCACACCTGGGAGCACAAATCGCGGAGCTGTTTGGGTTGCCACGCGTGGCACCAGCAAATCGAACGGCTTTTGAAGCACACCACTTCTTCCATCTTGTTCGGGAGATGGAAGAAGTAGTACCGCTCGATAACCAGCACTTTCGCCCGGTCCTTAGGCCATCCCTGGGAGCACAGAAATGCGGAGCTGTTTGGATTGCCACGTGGCACCAGCAAACGAGGTTTTCAGCTCAACCGAAACAACTAGTACAGTTCAAACACCAGCAGACCGGCGGGGCTCCTGGGGGGCGTAAAATGCGGAGCCTTTCGGATTGCCACGTGACGTTAGCAGATGGGACGCCACTGGACCACATTGGTGGAGGGGAGAATACGGGAATCTCCCATCTGTTATTAGACGACAGCAGACTGACGGGTACGGAGCTTCCGGGTTTTACACCGCCACGTGACGTTACCTGGTTGGCCCGTTCCTTCTCTTCAAAACTACAGGACAGAGCGAAAGCCCTGATGTTTACAGGGGCTTCTGGAGGGCTCGGAGCGTCAGAAGCGAAAGAGTTAGAACCGTCGATATGACGTGCCTCGTGTTTCTGAAAGGTGGCCCAGGGGGTATCCCCGGTGAAAGACAGAAAGCATGAACGGCGAGATCGTTTTCTTCTCAGGGGTTGCAGCCCACATTCGGTTGCAATTGGACGCGCTTTCCATTCCTATCGCTCGATCTAGCTACCTGCCCCAATCAACTCGCGGACAGACGGATGCAGATTCTTAATCCGAGAAGAAAGCTGTCTAACACAAGAAGCAATACCTACGTTGCGAAGGCGACGGAAGAGAAGCGATGCCGTCTGCAAACACACACGCTTGATTTCCGGCACGGCCCAGGTCCGCTGGGTTGACGTCAGGATCAAGGGAGACGATTGTCCACCCCCGCTCGACTAAAACGAGAAACCTCGTCACAGATGAAAGGACGGGTAGTAGAGCTCAAGACGACTTGCAATCAAAACAGACTGTCAGCCAACTCACCCCTCTGTGGCATCGATGATGAGTACGGCGGAATATCGGCCCCGAGAACGACGATCAGGATGAACGGTAAAGATTGCTATTTACGACCAGAGTACGACACTTGTCTTGAAACGACCGTTGGCAGCTCGAAGCGTTTCGGAACGCCAAACTCAAAGGGTCAGCCAACTCACCGCCTCGGTGTCATCGAAGATGAGCACGGCGAAGTTCGACCCAAG